CATTTCGTAAGTGGACAAAAATACTGTACATTAATATTGAATTTACAAATCCCAACAAATAAAAATAATCAATGTTATTTGCAAAAAAGTAATTCCCCGAGCCCTACTCTCATGAGCCACTTTAGAACAAGAAAACGCATACAAGCTCAAGTGTTTAGGTTTACGTCTGTCGATAAGACGCCCTGCCCAAGATGGCGGCCGCATTTCTCGCGCTCAGACAGCCTGTTCGGAGTCTACTCTTTATATGTAATAGAGCAAATCTACACACACTCGCTCCCTCTCTCCCAGAGAGCGCAATCAGTGTAATGCTAGTAGTACAACTGCACCGAACTCGACTTTAACCCGCCTCGCAGTCAGTGTACGGGAGGCGCAGCTCTTCCGGACAGAACTTTCTCGTGCGGCCGCTCTGCTCCGGTGGCTGCGCGCACTTGCGCGCACTGCTGTCACACTTTCTCACCCGTTTACCTGCTACACGCCCCGCCGTACAGAACACATGCGAACGTAGCGAACACTTAAGCGCTGGAGAGAGAGACGAGCCGTGTCTACAGCTGTGTGCTATATCTGACCATGTAAATTAAGTTTTTGCCTGCACGGCTGCACCAAAGACGTGTTGTTTAATGGCGGGCGTAGATCACATAAAGCTACAAGCGAACACAGCTAGCACAGCTAAAGTACAATTAAGTACCGGATAATTTAGTTCAAGATAACTCCAAAACGTTTTGCATCAAAATACAAGTTTACAGCATGAAGTTGAGCGCTTGCAATTTGTATTTCCACGCCATGCTGCCACGCTCAGTGCTAACGATGATATTCGGGGCTGTAGTCGTTTCGCAGCAAAATGCATTTTATAACTTCAGCTGTGACTCTTTGGGCGAATTTAGACATCAAAAGACACATAAGACGTAATGTTAGCAGTGAAACATCTGTGTACTTACCAAGTCAGACACTCATTCAAAAGGACCGTGATTCTGCCGTCTTCTCGGCTGTTCAGCTCACAAGCCCCTCCCACCGCGTATAAAACCTAAACACCTGAGCTCTCACCACTTAGAATGAATAGTGTAGGCAGATACCTGATTATATGAGCATTTACTACTTGTTTACTTTAGTAATGGTCCCGCCTTTGTAAAAATATGAAATTATAAGCAATGATAGCTTGATTTGTTATGCTGAAAAAATAGTGGGGTTTACAGTGTGGGTCCTAGTCCCCCTACTAGGTGGCGTTGTTGGCAACAATATTTAGAATTTGGTTGGGATCTTTAATAAAAGAAAAATTGAGTGCTACCCCCCGCCCCTTTCCACTCGGCCACATAAGTATGAAGAGGAGACCACTTTAGAATAGGAACCATTTCAGTTTGTGTCAGACTCATCATTTATTAACTACAAGCAAAACACTACTTTAGAATGGGGAACATATTCAGAGCTTAATGACTTAATTCATGGTTAGTTGGACTCTACTAACACCTAATAGAGAGTGTTTTATTACATATGAGTAAGCTAAATTTATTAAGTGCAAATAAGTAAAAACTACATTTCTTGTGCTACTAGTTCTTAAAAACACATTTATTACCAAAAGCTTAGAATCATAATTCATGGACAAAAATGGCGTGTTATACTAATAAGCAGTAATAAATAAAGGAGTGTATTAATATGAAAGTGTTTGTAAATGTAGCAGAATAAGCTTATGGGGAATGAATCATTAATAAGGTCTGAATAAATACAAATTAATTACAAATTAGCCATCTACAACTATGCTAATCAGCAGGTAGTTGAGTGTACCCTAAAATAAAATGTTACCAAAAACTCTCATGAACTTAAATGCTCTGTACCTGATTTTTATGTCTTAAAAATGTGAAAACAGAACTAGTGCATTGTAAACAGTTTGCAGTGGTCCAAAGTTCTTCCTCACTTACCTTATGCTTTCAGAGCATCCTCATTCACCGTGATGAGTTTATAAGCACTTTCCACAATTTCCAGAGACTGGAGCAGAGTAAAGTAAGCAACTAGCATGCTAAAAGCACACTTCCTGTTACTCGCACAATAATGTACAGCATTACAGACTTATTTTGACCTCAAGAACTGCTTATACAACAAATTTGTACTGGGGCAAGACACATTTTGCTTAAATTCATAGGGGGAAAAAAACAGTTACTTGTCTGTATGCCTTCTGTATTTCTCTGTTAACACTAAAATATTGGCGCTGACAGAGCAGCTCACGTTCTGTTTTGTTTGTTATAAAAACACGTCTCATATTTCCTCCTCACCACAGCTTCACTTGTCACAGATAAATATACAAGTTGGACACAGATACAGGAACTAGAAAATTATGTTATCTTTACCTCCACATTACTGTATATTCTTTTGTGTACTATTTTATGTACAATTGATAATATATATATATACATATATATATATATATATATATATATATATATATACACACACATACATATACATATATATACATATACATATATACATACATATATACATATATACATATATATACATATATACATATATATAATATATATATATATATATATATATATATATATATATATATATATATATATATATATATATATATATATATATATATATATATATATATATATATTATATATATATATATATATATATATACATATATATACATATATACATATATATATATACATATACATATATATATATATACATGACTTGACACAGCATTATCTGTTAATCTGCTTATCTCCATGGAGATATTGCTATGCCTGGAATGTTCCACAGTATGCCATTGAACTTATCTCCATGGAGACAAGTAGGCCACCAGATCGTACAAGATCAAGTTACAGGTCAAATCTGTGAAACAGTGAACAACACTAAGAATGTTTATCTAGTACTACAGTTTGTGTACAAAATTATACTCTAACACATATCTATATACCTGAGGAAAAATATAACTTTCTTCAGTGATAGAATGTTGTGAATTAAGTGGTGTGTGGTGTATAGTAGTAGTAGTAGTAGTTATAGTAGTACTTGTTAGTGTACAGTGAACAACAGTAATCATGTTTATCAATGTATTTTGGAGAACTAAATGTTATTGATGAACAGAAAACTGTGTTTTTAAACTCCACTGACAGTAAAATCATTTGGATGATTTCAGACCTGGAATGGCCAATCTGTTCTCAAAGGGGTGTTAACTTTAAAACTACCGCTTCATGACATCACAAGGTGGAACAGAGCATTTTGAGCTTTGGAGATGTAGACAGACTAATATTTTACCTTTTATTTAACCAGGATATTCCCGCTGTAGCCAGGCTGATGCCACCTTATGCCTCCGCTCAATTTCAATTCTCTCCAGCGACGAGGTCAGGAATCAGAATACACTAGACCAGGGGTGTCAAACTCAAATTCACAGAGGGCCAAAATTAAAAACTGGGCCGAAGTTGTGGGCCAAACTAAATATTTATTGGAAAATTTCAACAACATCTGCATGTTTTCTCATCTTTTGAGATATGTAATGTTAAGCTTTTTCTTATTAGAATAAATGTTTAATAATAGTTTTGCTTAAACATTGAATACAGAACAAGCAATAATATAAAATAATAACATTTTAAATAAATATTGTAGTCTATCTGTAGCCGGCGGGCAGCTCTAATACATATTTGATATGATCTGGCTGGCCAAATATAATTATATCGTGGGCCAAATTGGGCCTGAGTTTGACATGTCTGCACTAAACAGTTTGCAAGAACTCCAGAAGTTGTAAACTGCTTACCAGCCAATCAGAGAAGAGCTGTGAAGCCATGACGTCAAAATCAAGCACCTGTCTGGGTCCCTTTCGTGGAACAGCACAACAGTAAACAAAGCGTCGAGATGGATGTAGATGAAGACATTCTGTGTTGGCAACAATACCCAAGATCAAGGATTTAAAGCCAGAACATTGAGAATGTTTTATCAAGGGGAAAGACATTATTGCCCTTTTTCCTATGGGATTTGGTGCATTACATATATCACGATCGAATAGCAGTGATTGGTTAAATAAAAAAAGTACCCACCTACCCTTGACTGAGCGAATCTTAATGCTGCGAGGTCAGACAGTTTCTGCTGAACTTAAGAATTTCTTTTTCAGGGGAGTCCTGGCCACACAGGGACCCTATTGTGCATATTTTTAGTGGTAGGAGAAATCAGAGCACCCAGAGAAAACCTATGCAGGCACGGGGAGAACATGCAAACTGCACACAGAAAGTCTCGGCACCGGCCCAGAATCCAACCCAGAACCTTTTACTCTGTGAGGCAAAAGCACTAACCACTCTGCCACTGTGAAGCCCAACTAATAACAAATAATTACTCAAAAATGTGTGAATAAAAGAACAACTCCAGGTAACAACATTATAATTTAGAGCTCACAACAGTCTTTTTTGTGATATAGCACCTTTAATATCATACCGCCGAACATTTCAGGCAAAGCAGTAACATCTCCGTGGAAACAAGTGCACATTTCAGTTTCATGTATAACACCAGTGCCCTGTTTTCTCCCTGTTTGTTCAGCTCCAGTTTCGGATCATTATCTTTTCTATTGTTCTGCTCCAAAGGTTTTGTGTGATCCGCCTCTCCACTCGCGTACATCCTGTGATTTCAGCCTAAAATACTGCAAATACAACTTCAACACACTTACATCTTATCTGCTTTCTAGTGTTTTATCTAGACTGTAAAACCATTTAACCACTCCTTCCTACTACTACAATAAAATACTGCTAGTCTGTTTTATTTTAACTGTGTAACAAGGCAAGTTTATTACCAAATTCCTTGTCTAAACCGGACTGCCAACATTCCAATTGTGTAAGAAACTGTATTTTAAACGTGGGCTGTCGATGTGATGTTATGGGGAAATGAAAAGGGAGATAGGGGAGAGCCTAGCAGCGCTCCGATTGGCTGAGGGGGTGATTGACAGGTGAGGTCCATGCAGGTGTGGGCAGGGCTTAGATAATGAGGAGATTAGAGGGTTGTGCAAACTTCACTGGACTGTCAACTGCAGCAACTAACAACACAGGTAGGAAAACAACTATACTTTGTGTACAAATGTATTAAAAATAGTTATTTAAAGTACTTATATTCTAACACGTACTGTATCTATGTACCTTTAAAAGCTTTTGAAGAAAAATATGACTTTCTTCAGTGATAAAATGTTGTGAATTAAATGAGGTGTATTAGTAGTAGTACTTAGTAGCAGAGTAATTGTGATAACAGTACCTATGAATAGTATAAATGGTTTCTGCTATAGAGGTAGTAGTAGTTTTAGTAGTAGTACTAATACAAGGATTGATGTAACACTATGATAGGTAGTAAAATGTCACTGCTGTATTAGTACTAGTCATAGTAGTAGAAGTAGTAATAGTTCTTATAAGAGTAACTGGACCGTCTCAAAAACGAGATGGTCAAGAAACAAATTCACAAATACACTCGGCTGTTCCTCTGAAACTCTGTTAGAAATATTACAGAAAGACTTATATTGACTTTGAATGGACTCACTGTCTTCTGATTTAGGTGGGAAAAGTCCAGAGCCATGGACGCAGACTACTACAGATCTGTGAGTACTATTCGTCTCACTCGCTGTCATTTAAATATCCATACTTCATTCATGTATTTCTAACCTCTTATCACACTGTACACAGTATGTGGGTCTGAGCCTCTCCCTGAGGCTGAGGGGAGGGGCCCCTGCACCTTGGACAAATACTGCTTCATTAACTCATGAATTCATCAGCTCAAGACGTTCATTTACGTTCAGTTTAGACCTGTACAAATATGTTCAGTTATTTAGACTATTTTATTTGTGATGGGATTTTTTGCTAAACCATATTGTCAGAAAGTTGTAAAAGACTGTAAAAGATAGACATTGATGACTTTGTAGTGAAGTTGTACATTTCAAATAGATTGAAAGCAGTAGTAACCATAGTAAGATTAAAGTGTTTTGCCCAAGGACATTGTTCTGTTCCAGTGGATCAAACTATCAACCACTATTGTGTCTTCATTCACTACACACGCGGTGATGGTAAAATACTATAGTAGTCACAGCTGCCCTAGAGCAATCTGACGGAAGTAAGGCTGCCTCCGACGATCAACACTCAGCACACCCATACTTAGCAATGTGGGTGAAGTGTCTTGTCTAAGAACACAACTACAGTTTTTGCCACTGCTGCTCCACTGTGGAAGCAGAAATTCCCAGTGGTCTCCCATCTGAGTACTGACAAGGCCCAGTTCTGTTTAGCCTCTGAGGTCTGCCCAGATCAGGTTTGGACAGGGAGCTTTGCCCACAGTTATCATTGACCTTAAGAGACTGCAGCTCTTGACCAGAACCATAACAGGACTTGAACCATTTCTTGTCTGCACTCGTCTGTCAGAATGAATGAGTGAATATTTGTCATTCTCCACATTGTTGCACCGGTGATGAAATCTTCAGACTACAGTAGTTTTACCTGTCCTCACGTCACAGCCCCACATCTCCATCTCATCATGATCAGACCAGAACCAGTTCTTTAGTCTCCATTTCACAACTCCACTCAACCCTTAAGTCATCACTACAAAAACTCAAATCTTAACTTCAACTCAACTCAACTTAAAATGACTTGAATTTAGAGCTTGTTATATTGATTTGAGTAAATTTCACACAATAAGTAAAGTTATTTACCAATGGAAGTCTTTTTGTAGCTGAAATCAGAAAATACACCTCCAGATAACAGAAACATCTTTGTGCTTAAAATAAGAAACTACATTGCATGTTGTTGGAATTAAGAAAAAAAGACTTAATGCAATTGGAATTGGAACTTACTCAGATATTAGTTTTTGAAGACCTCAGTATCATGGGCGTAGGTTTGCTTAGGGACGGTGGGGACATGTCACAACCAATATTTGGAGAAGACAATAGTCCCTACCAATATTTGCAAACAAAAATATAAATTTATTCTGATATTTTTCCAAACAAAATAGTATTAATTGAACAAGTTTCAGTTCACATTTTGTTTATTAGATGTTCTGAGATGTATTCAGTGATATGACGACAGGGTTACTCCCGCTGCTATTTCATTGGCTGCAACAGAGTGATGTCAGAGTGGAGCCAGGAGCCTAAACTGGGGAAGCGGCAGGACAGCGCCAGCACCCAAAGATGATGGCTTGAGCAGGCGTGAGTGAAGAAGCTGTGTACCAAACTCTGAAAAAATTTTCAAAAGGAACTTACTTGACTTCATCTTTAAATAAACCTGCCGTGGAAAGTCGAGTTGAACACAGAAAAAGAGCGACTATCACCATTAGTGCACCTCCAAACCGGAGCCCTACTCGTGCGCTGTGAGCAGCCCAACTCTATTGACAATATTCCATGGAAAAATGTCTGGACATCACCTCACAAATATCTCATCACCAACAAGCAAAGAGAAATCTGCTACAAACTTCGACATCACTGTTATGTTATGAAAAATGAAACCACCTCTCACCAAACATTTATGCAACTTCTTATCCCATTTGACCCTTTCGTATAAAGATGTGCTGTCCGGTTTTTGCTGTGTGCATCATACGAAAAGTAAACAATATTATATAATTAATCTTTTAGTCATGTAACCTGTCAGATGGTTTCATGGATTTACCTGATAATGTCCCCACCAAAGCTGAGACCAAACCTACACCCTTGTCAGTATCGCTCAAGCCAAATATACAGGTCTAGTATGGATACCTTCCCTTTATTCAACAGATCGTATTTATAACATCACAATTCAATATAGAACTCCTATAGTTTAAACTGTGGATAGAAGGACAGGCCAGAATTCTACGGAGGAAAAGTACAGTCCCTGACAAAAGTCTTGTCGCTTATCCATTTTGTAGAAACAAAAGCTTATAACCTGACTTTAAATTAATCAATTGGTTTTAGAAATGTCTCATATGAAAGCTAAAACCCTCCCAAATTATGCTCAATAAACTAAAATAAATTTGCTTCACTGAAGAAAGATTGATCATTTAATGAACACAGAAAGGTCAGATTTTGGCAAGACAAAAGTCTTGTCGCCTTGTCATATGATGCACCCAATCCTAGATTACAGCCTCATCTGTGATCAGTTACTGATCAATCAATTAGTGGGTGTGTATAAAAAGAACCCCAGCACACCAGACCTTCACATCAACTGCAACTTGACCTCTGACAACATACCTAAGATCCACCCTGAGACCAAAGCCTTAATTATCAAGAGGCTGAAGACCAGATCCACTGCTGAGGTGGTGACACCTTCAATGTGTCTCAGCGTCAAGTACAAAGAATAAGAAAAAGATCTGAAATGACTGGAGATGTTTTTGACAAGCCCAGGTCCAGCAGACCCCGCAAGACAACTGCTCGGGAGGACCGTTTGTTGATTCAAAAATCCAAGGCCCCTTTTCCACTGCAGCAGACTCCACCAGGCCTGGTCACCTCAAGTCCCTGTGTCAACCACAACAGTTTGTAGAATTCTGTCTCGAAATGGCCTCCATGGTCGAATCAGTGCACAGAAACCAGCACTAAACAAAAGGCAATTAAAAAAACGTTTGGCATTTGCCAAGGCCCACAGCCTGCTAAAAGGATGGACACCGGAAAAGTGGCAGAAGGTGGATTTCTCAGATGAATCCTCGGTTGAATTACATCACAGCCGCCGCAAATATTGCAGGAGACCTACTGGAGCCGCATGGATCCAAGATTCACCCAGAAAACAGTTAAGTTTGGTGGCGGAAAACTCATGGTCTGGGGTTCCATCCAGTATGGGGGAGTGCGAGACATTTGCAGGGTGGAAGGCAATATCAATAGCCTAAAATATCAAGAAGTATTAACTACCTCTTACATTCCCAACTATAAAAGGGGTCAAATTTTGCAGCAGGATGGTGCTCCATCACATACTTCTATCTCTACATCAAAGTTTCTCAAGGTGAAGAAGATGAAGGTGCTCCAGGACTGGCCAGCCCAGTCACCAGACATGAACATCATTGAGCATGTCTGGGGTAGAATGAAAGAGGAAGCATGGAAGACAAAACCAAAGAATCTTGATGAACTCTGGGAGGCATGTAAGACGCTTTCTTTGCTATTCCTGATGACTTCATCAACAAATTGTATGAATCACTGTCGAACCGCATGGATGCCTCCTTCAAGCTCATGGAAGTCATACAAGATATTAAATATGGATCTCACAGCACCACTACTTAATTCACTGACGTTATGCAACATATTTTTGTATTTGAAGTAAATTATTTGTTCAATTTTCTGTAGGCGACAAAACTTTTGTCTTGCCAAAATCTGACCTTTCTGTGTTCATTAAATGATCAATCTTTTTTCAGTGAAGCAAATTTATTTTAGTTTATTGAGCATAATTTGGGAGGGTTTTAGCTTTCATATGAGACATTTCTAAAACCAATTGATTAATTTAAAGTCAGGTTATAAGCTTTTGTTTCTACAAAATGGATAAGCGACAAGACTTTTGTCAGGGACTGTATAATTAAAAGGCCTATATCTCACAAAATTTACTCTTGTGAGCTCCAAGTCATGAGAGAATGTTATTACCTTCTCAAATACTTACCTGGAGCTGTGTTGTGTTTCATTCACCCTGCATTTTAAGTCTGACTACATCTCCAAAGCTCAAAATACTCAGTTCCAGATTGAGAGATTGAGAATTCCAGGGCTGACTAGGTAACTACCAAAGTTTTTTCATGGTTTGAAAATCAGGTATTGCATCTTTCAGCTCCCTTTCAGATCTGGTTTAGTTAAGTGTAGTGGTTTATTTTACCAGGGAACACGTTACACATTCATCATAAAAGATGAGATGCTTTAAATCAGATTTATCTAAAGTTAGTTTCCCTCTGCTGTCCCTGAGCAGGTTAAGAAACACATCCAAGTATTCACTCATTTACAGTCACTTGCTTGGTTTTGCTGTCGACTAGTTATAGATGTGGTGGTACTCTGAAAGCCACGTATATTGAGTGTAATTGTGCATATATATGAAAAGTCTTTGTTTTCTCAGGAGATGTACTGGGGGACTCTGGGCACAGTTCGACCTCACTCCAACTTCCACCCAGACAGAGACGTGATGGAGCTGCAGACGGCTCTGGAGAAGAAGGGTGGGTCACGCTACAGATATTTGTTTTGTGTAGTGGTGATCAATATTCACCTAAAGTATAATCAAAAATGTATATAAAAGAAGTCTGTTTGCTTCTGCGTTACAAAACTGTGGTTCCCAATGGGAGCTGGAAATGTTCAGATGGTGACAACAGTGTTCAAAATGAGACTGTGATAAAACAATAATTCCATATGAGGTTTTATAAGTCACTATACTGAAGAAAAAAAACAACAACTATCTCCCCAAGTTAAAGTGACTTAAATTAAGAAAATTTGGCTTTATTTGAGTCAATTCATTTAACAATGGAAAAAGTGTACTTTTCTTTATTCAAGCAACATTAGATTTTCTTTTTTATTTTAAGTGCAAAGAGTTGTAGCAAGATGCATTTTTTCTTGTCAAGTGAAATTGACTTAAATCATGATAAAACTTTCTTAATTCAAATCATCTTGACTAGATTTTGTTTTTTGAAGTGTACAGGTACTAACTACATTGAAACATGTTTAAAACAGCAAAGCAAACATGGTGGGGGTGCGCTCCATTACTAAAAAGCTCTAAATGAACATGTGAGCAGTGCACTCCCATTGAGGAACTTCGCCTCCTCAAAGCTCCTCCAACCAAAAGTGTCTGGTGTTTGCTAGTGTCAGAGAAAAAGGTCACAATATGGTGTCTTGAAAATAAGTGATTAGAAATGACTCAAACATGCAAGAATCACTTCAAATACAACTGTGAGAGGGTCACTGGTAAAGCAAAACAACTATAACACAATAGGTCTGCTTTAAAGTGCAGTAGAAATAAAGTTGGATTGGAATATTGTGGTTTACAATGAACGACATGTGATACAATAAAAATAATATTAGCAGTCGATTTACAGTCAGTCTTTGTTCCTCCCCTCACCTATGGTCATGAGCTCTGGGCAATGACCTGTGGCAGAGCGGCATACTCGTAAGTGGACTTCAAGATGGTAAAGTTGCCAACAACGCCACCTGGTAATACCAGGACACAGTGTTTTTCCCCCATCCACTATAGACACACAGGTTCGTTGACTGAATATGGCATGAGACTTTAATATACTTTACATTGAATTTATTATCCATTTTTGCAAAGGGTCAATCACATACATCCTCGACCAGTCCTGTACGTTCATTGTCCACTGGGTCGCATGGCCTCGTTGCTTGGACCTTAGGACCATTATCAGTCAGTATCGCTTCCGACAAGACGAAGACTTCAGAGAGCGAGTCCTTTCACCAAGGGCCACCAACACTGAACAGACCAGGTACACAGAAAGAAAAAAAAGGGAGGCTTCCCGCCAACAGGAGCCTAAATATTACAGGTTACATGTAACATACAATACACATGACAAAGAGGAACACAAAATAAAGCATAGCGACATACCGTATAGAATTCACCGCGGCACGCCACCCAAACACGCAGAGGACCGCCCAGTGCCGAGACACAAACACTAAAAAACACAACTCATGTTAACCTCGCGCAAGGCGATACTGAGCCAACAAGACGGTTTCCCCACTTACCCCCACAATGCCCGCACACTCTCCGCAATTACTACGCTGAACACCTCGCAACAGTAATCTTAGTGCTCCTAAACATGGTCCACCCGGGGCCTCGCGTATTGCGGCCATGACAGTTTGGCTCCGCCAGCGTGCGACGTCAGGTCGGAGTTCAGGGGGGAGGGGCGAGCGTAGCGCATAGCGCCTCTTTTATAGGCGGGTTTGTGACCCATAAACCCGATACTATGACAGACCGACAGGACAAGACTGTGGATACAAGCGGTCAAAATGAGTTTCCTCCGCACGGTGGCTGGGCGCTGCATGGGTCCCCCTGGAAAAGCTGGAGGAAGTATTCGGGATGCAGGAAGTCTGGGAGTCCTTGCTTAGACTTCTGCGTTCTGGATAAGCGGAAGTAAATGATGGATGGATGGACATTAGCAGCCATATTTTGGTTTAATAATAGTAGTTATTTTGTTTTAATTCTTTTAGATTGTGCGAACATTGTGAGGATCTTAACCAACCGAAACAACGCTCAGAGGCAAGTCCTGGTCAAGACTTTTGAGGAACTCACACAAAAGGTACCTTGGATGATGATGGCTCTTTCCTGAATATTCTTTCATATTTAACTGTTGATTGTGTGTATTATAACATACCTCTTAAAGATGGCAGTGTAGCTCGGAGTATTTGCTGAGTAAATATATTTGAAACAGGTTTTAAACTCCACACCTTTGTTTAGATATTAGGTCATATGCTTAATGAACAAACTTCAGATTTTGATGTAAGTCAAGATCTTGTCAGATAGTGTGTCTTCAAATGTTGGATAAAAATGATGCTATGCTGGACTAAGGTCTCTCTGTCTCTCTCTCTGTCTCTCTCTGTCTCTCTCTCTCTCGCTCTGCCTATCTCTCTTTTCTCTCTGTCTCTTTATCTGTCTGTCTGTGTGTCTCTCTGTCTCTCTCTTTCTGTCTGTCTGTCTCTCTTTCTCTCTGTCTGTCTGTCTCTCTCTCTCTCTGTCTCTCCCTCTCTGTCTCGTTCTTCTCTCTGTCTGTCTTTTTTCTCTTTCTCTCTGTCTCTCTCTCTCTATATGTGTCTCTGTCTCTCTCTTCTGTCTTACTTTGTCTCTCTCTATCTCTCCCTCTCTCTGTCTCGTTCTTCTGTCTGTCTCTTTTCTCTTTCTCTCTCTCTGTCTCTCTCTGTCTGTCTGTCTCTCTCTCTCTCTCTTTCTGTCTGTCTCTCTTTCTCTCTGTCTGTCTGTCTCTCTCTCTTTCGCTGTCTCTGCATCTCTCCCTCTTTCTCTCTCTGTGTATCTCCCTGTCTCTCTCGCTGCCTCTCTCTTATGTCTGTCTGTCTCTCTGTCTGTCTCTCTTTTCTCTCTCTGTCTGTCTCTCTCTCTTCTCCCTGTATTATTATGACTGGTCTTTCTATCTCTCTGTCTCTCTCCGTTTCTCTCTTCTCCCTGTATTACTATGACTGTTCTCTCTCTCTCTGTCTCTGTGTGTGTGTATGTGTGTCAGGACCTGAGCTCTACGGTGAAGAAGGCTTTGTCTGGAGATGTGGAGACTCTTCTGTTGGAGCTGCTCATGCCTCCTCTGCACTACGAGGCCTACAGGCTGGAGATGGCCATGGTGGTGAGTGCCAAGCACCTCCGCCTCACAGCAACAAGCTTCTGCGTTCAACATTCTGATTTTCTGTGTAGAGTTTGCATGTTTCTCTCTGTGTGTGGTGGGGTTTCCTCTTGTTTGCTCCATCGACCCAAAACATGCAACAATAGTCAACGAAGCGTATTGTTAACATATCGAACATTTCTTACACTAATAATAACGTCAATGCATAAGTCCTACAACAGTTTCCCAAACCATATTTTAAAAGTCACAAACCTTCGCGACCCAAGTCAACAGACATTATTCGTAAATCACAAAATAGTGATCGTGTCTCTCTGAACTATTCGTATTACTCAAGTTTTAAACAATCAAAAACAGTCATTGAAGCAGCAATAAAAGGATCCATAAGTCGCCTATTTGGACATTAAATGCAGCTTATTTCTTTTTCTTTTCAACATTCAATTGAACCAGCAATATTGGAATAAAATAGTCACCACAATAATTACAAAAAACATTAGAAATTATACAAAACATGTCTTAAAGGGACAGTTCGGAATTTTGGACATAATTCCTCATTTCCTAGTGAGCCAGAGAACAGTAGATATGTGGAGACACTTTTTAAAATATTCCATCCAGTCCTTGCATTTGCAGAGGTCGCTGGTGCTAGGATAGCGCATGTCAATGGCCATAGTTAGCCTGCTACTAAAAACAGTCTTACCCACTCCACAAAACACCCGAAACAAATCTATTATTACACCAGACTGTCCATGTGAATGTCTGTGTTGAGAAATACATTTTAGAAGTAAAACCAACCTTGCATTTGAAGGATTTATGTCTGAGTAGCAGCAGAGAGTTCCTGGTAGAAAGCTTGGCAGTGGCAGACTGATATCACCTGATACCTGTCTTACCGGCAAAGTAATAGTCAGTTTACCTGCAGCTGCCATAGTGACACATAGAGGACATGAAGAAGCCTGTTCCAGATATGTCCATGTTTATATCATCACAACTAACTAGTGCACAGTAAAATTTCGCTGCTGGTGAGAAAATAGTCCCTCAACATGCGACGATCCATGCGATACAAGGTTAGTTTTACTTCTAAAATGATTCTATTGACACAGACAGTTACATGGACAGTCTGGCGTAATAATAGTTTTGCCTCGGGTACACTGCGGAGTGGGTAAGACTGTTTTTAGTGGCAGGATAACTATGGCTATTGACATGCACTAGCCTAGCACCAACAACCTCTCCAAATACAAGGACTGGATGGATTATTTCAAAAAGTATCTCCACATATCTACAATACTCTGGCTCACTAGGAAATGAGACCCTATGTCCAAAATTCTGAACTGTCCCTTTAACATTTCAGCATTTCTAATGAGATAGGTGGGCCTGTCTGTGTTTTTGTACCACGTTCCAGTCTGGGGTGCAACAGGCATATCAGGCGAACCCCAAAAAAATCTCTCTCGATCCACCTGAGTGTTGCAACCCAGTCTTTGGGAAACAATGTCTTATATAACTTATATAAGACATTATTTCCCAAAGACTCATATTCTCGTTACCGTGTTGTACATTATGAATTCCCTGTGCTAAGATACTATTGTAATCACACAGCTACCCTGGGAAAAACTGACAGAAAACAGGCTGCCATTCTGCGGCATTGGTCCCTCCCACCACCACCAGCACTCAAGCACTCATACACACACATTCACACACACCACACTCACAGTAGGAAATGCGGTTGAAGTGCCTACACAAAAGAAAATGTAACTTTGTCAACTCGACAAACGTTTTGAAGTTTTGACAGAATACAGTTTCCTTTTACTATCTGGACAATAGAAGTATTACATGTCTTGCCTAAGGACACAACAACAGTGTGCGGTAGAGTTGCTGGTGCCCCACTGTGGCACCTGTATTCCCAATGGTCTCATGTCACACCAGGATTCAATATTCAGTTGCGTATTTTCTAAATATCGTGTAGCTCTAGTGGGTGGTGCGTTCATGGTCACATTTCAGTGGGAAATCCTGGCGTCTGCTGTAACAGTGTTTGTTTGTTTGCAGGGACTAGGCACAGATGAGGAAAGTCTACTGGAAATCCTCTGCACCTTGACTGGCCCTCAGCTCAAAGAGATCAGTGAAATCTACAAACAAAGTCAGTTACAACAAAAAGCATTTGATTTATTTATTTAAACTAACATGTATGTATCATATAAAAATATGATAAAATGTATCATATATAACACATGTATAATGACTTGATTTGTTAGTGCTCGTTTCCATAGAGATAGACAAGTTTAATTCCTCACTGTGGAGACAGACAAGTTTAATGCGTCACTGTGGAACATTCTAGCTAAAGCAGAAATAAGACTGACTATGAGTCTATTATTATAAACAAATCTATGTCTATGTATATATTCAGTGTTGCTGTTTTTTCTTTTTTTGCAGTGTACAAGAAGGATCTGGAGAAGGAGCTGAAAGGAGAGACCAGCGGAGACTTTGCCAAACTGGTTGTGGCCTTGCTAAATGTAATGCAGAGTTTTAAATACAATTGATGTACTAGTCCATCTCAAAAAACTTTAATATCATGAAAAAGTTCAATATTTTTTGTCTTTCAGAAAGTCAAACCTAGATATATAGACTTGTGACACATAGATTGAAGCTGTTTCATTTTTATGATTGTGGCTTACAGATCATGAAAACCTCAAATTCAGAAAATTGAATATTAAAATTAAAATATTGTCAAAAAGCTGAATATTGTAAAATCTCGTTGTCACACATTAATCAGCTAATGAAGTGAAAACATCTGCAAAGGTTTCCTGAGCCTTTAAATAGTTTCACAGTTTGAGTCAATGGGTTACACAATCATGTCCAGATGTCCAGAGGACAATCACTGACTCTCTCCACAAGGAGAAAACCACAAAAGGTCACTGATAAAGAAATCAGTACAAGAGCCATTTCGCACAGACAAAGCCCATATGGGACATGAGACAATGTCAGAAGAGTCTTACCTGGACTGTTGCTCAGAGTCCAAAGTTCTCTTCTCAGGTGAAAGTACATTTGGATATGTTTTGGAAATCAAGATCCCAGAGTCTGGAGGAAGAGTGGAGAAACACTGAGTCCACGTTGCTTGAAGTCCAGTGTGAAGTTTCCACAGTCAGTGATGATTTTGGCTGCTATGTCCTCTGCTGGTGTTGGTCCACTGTTTTTTCTGAAGTCCATGGTCAATGCAGCCATCTACCTGAACATGTTAGAGCACTTCTGCTGACAAGCTTTATGGAGGTACTGATTTCATTTTCCAGCAAGACTTGACACCTGCCCACACAGCCAAAGGTACCAAAAGGTGGTTCACTGACCATGCTGTTACTGTGTTTGATTGGCCTGCAAACTCTCCTGATCTGGACCCCGTAGGTTCAGAAGGGATAAGTAGGGATATTGTCAAGAGGAAGATGAGAGATACCAGACCAACAATGCAGATGATCTGAAGGTCACTACTAAAGCAACCTGAGCTTCAATTACACCTGAGCAGTGCCACAGGGATCTCCTCTATGCCACAGTGCATTAATGCAGTAATTCAGGCCAAAGGAGGCCCAACCAACCAAGTACAGAATGCATAGAAATACTTTTCAGAAGCCTGACACATTCTGTTTAAAATCTAAATGTTAAAACTGATCTAATGTAATTTTCAAATTTTCTGAAACACAGAATTTGGGGATTTGATTTTCTATTAGCCATACTCATAAACCTTAATCAAGAAGTAAACTCTTCAAACATTTCACTCTATGTGCCATGAGTCTGTATAATATCTGGGTTTGACTTTCTGAAATGAGACAAAAAATATGGAACTTTTTCCTAATGTTATAATCTTTGGAGATGTACCAGTATATTACAGACTGAATACAGTTTGTTTAAATGTATCTCAGTCTGACTGTTTCCTCTGCACAGAAAAGTGATGTGGCTGGACTAGTTTACAAAGACGTAGAGGTACGAGTCTTCTTAAAGATCATTACAGAGATTTTATCCTGTACAAATCTGAACCTGGTCTTGTCTTGGTACAGACCTGCTTTACAATACAAAAGCCCCCATAACCCTCCTTGTCCCTCAGACTCTGGTGGCCACTCTGAACGGAAAGAAGTGTGAGGCTGCTCCATGGATCGACATCCTGACCTCCAGAGACCCCGAGCACCTCCAGAAGGGTATGATCTCTGGTTCTATAGCATCCACCTCTGTTTCTATATATAGACCACCTCAGCAAGGGTACAATGAGTTTATACCCAAAGAGTAGAGTCTATGGCCACACATGTTAAATTCAGTTTAAAGAACAAAACAACATTTGCCTCACAGGGCTTAAAATCGACCTACTGATATTAGGGACCAGATTTTCAGTCCTAGCCCCAGAGAAGGAGCCTGCTGTACATGATTTTAGCAGCGGGGGAAACCAAATCACCCACAGAGAACCTACACAGACATAGAGCAAACACAGAACACAGAAAGGCCCTATGCAGCTCAGGAGTCAAACCCACAACCTTCTGGGTAGGAGAGGGGGCTCATGCAGGATAGGGTGAGGGTCATCCAGCCAGGTGAGGAAGGAGGAGCGTCTGGGTAAACAATAATGTCTAATGTAATGAGCTAATGTTATGATCTACTATTGCAGATATGAAACCATGATAATCTTCATAGTAAATCTGTTTCTAAATCTGTTTCCTTCAGTCCTGGACGAGGTGGAGTTTCAGACCGGCCTGTTCCTGGACGAGGCTTTGGAGAAACGCTTCAGTGGAGACTTCAGACTGGGGCTCAAAGTACTGGGTGAGTAAGAGAGAAGAGACATGATGGTGGATATCAGAGGAAAGACAGTTTTATATAAAGACTAACTACTAAGTAACTAAGTCTCAACTGTGATTGTGTGTTTTCTGTTCCAGTGCAGTGCATTCAGAACCCAGACCTCTACCTCGCCAAAAGAATCAGCACTATGAAGGTAAGATCTCACTAACCATTGCAGTCCTCACAGGATAACTAAAGGTACACTGTGCAACTTTTCTGGGTGAGGGTCCATCAAATGTTTTTCTCCGCAGTCAAAATGCCTGTTTTTCTAGGTATTTTTGAGCTATAAAACCACCAGTAATTAAGTAAATGTAAGGTAGAGCTGTTTAATGCCATAATGTGGAACATACCAGGCAGAGCAGTGTCATCTCCATAGAAACAAGCAGAACCAGAAACCAGAACCAGAAAAGTTACACAATGCACCTTTAAAGGCACTGTACCAGATTTTTACTGTTTTAAAAAAAGCGAAAAACAGAACTAGTTCATTTAATTCAGGGCGTCCTAATTATTTACCTCAATGAGTTTGTAAGCACTTTCAGAGATGAATGCGAAGTTTTGCAGTGAGGGTACAGCTAAAAGCAACTAGCATGCTAACACACTTCCTGATTATCAAATTGTAAAATGTTTTATTATTAGTTAACCCTAGTTATTATTAGGGTTAGGGCCTTTAAATGTTCACGATGTATGTTTTCTGTTTGTGTCCATCACCTTCTTGTCTCCATGGAAACTGTATTGCTTTGCCAATAATGTTCCACGTTTTTGCTTTTAACTTCTCAATTTTGCATTTGTTCAACACACATAAGTTGTTACCGTGAGCAGTGTTGCCTCTACGCGGATCTGACCTGTAACTTGCTCTACAACATTCAAAGCAATAACATACGAATAGAGAGACAAACAGGTGATCGACCCTCCAACACCTATACTATGTGTCCAGATGTAGCCAGGCTGGCACCACCTAGTGGTCCACTCAATTTCATTTCTCTCCAGCAAGTAGGTCAGGAATCAGAATACACTAGACAGTTTGTGAGAACCCTTGAAGTTGTAGACCGCGCTCCGACCAATCAGCGAAGAGCTGTGAAGTCATGATGTCAAACTCAAGAGCCTGTCTGGGTCCCTTTTGTGAAACAGCACAACAGTAAACAAAGTGGTCTAGATGGATGTAGACGAAGACAGACATTCTGTGTTGGCACTGATTCTCGAGATTGAGGATTTAAAGCCAGAACAAAGAGAATGTTTGGTGAATTTTATCAAGGTGAAACACGTTATTGTCCTTCTTCTTACAGGATTTAGGAAAAGCTTAATATATCAGTTAGGCCCGTTAGTGGTGCATTACATACGTCACAACCAAATAGCAGTGATTGGTTAAATAAAAGTACCTGCCTACTGTTGAGCGAATGAACCCTTACGCTGCGAGGTCAGACGATTTCCACGAAGTGAAACCGGCTGATGAATCAGGCTTGTCCACATGTATTTGAAAAGTCCAAATAATGCTTAAAATAATGTACCTTAAACATGTATTTGATCAAATCGTTCTGTTTTCATACCTTGTATGTTTTGATGCTCACTTCTTTTGGTATTACCCAGAGGCGCCATCTTTTATTAGCGTCAGTAAGACAACAGTGCCATCTGCAGCCTGACCTCTGTATCTATAGATTTAAAGGGAACAGTCCGGAATTTTGGACATTGACCTAATTTTTTTGTTAGCCAGAGTGTTGGAGACGTGTGGAGACACATTTTTGTAAATATTCCATCCAGTCCTTGTATTTGCAGAGGTCGCTGGTGCTAGACTAGTGCATGTCAATGGTCATAGTTATCCTGCCACTAAAAACAGTCTTACCCACTCCACAAAACACCTGAAGCAAATCTATTATTACTCCAGACTGTCCATGTGAATGTTTGTGTTGATAGAAGGATTTTAGAAGTAAAACCAAACTTGCAATTGAAGGATTTATGTCTGAGCAGCAGAGGCGAGTTGTACTTTCTGATAGAAAGCTTGGCAGTGGCGGACTGATATCACCTAGCACCTATTTTGTAATGTAATGGTGTAATATAGATTTGTTTTGGGTGTTTTGTGGAGTGGGTAAGACTGTTTTTAGTGGCAGGATAACTATGGCCATTGACATGCACTAGTCTAGCACCAGCGACCTCTGCAAATACAAGGACTGGATGGAATATTTATAAAAGTGTCTCCACACGTGACTCTGACTCACTAGGAAATGAGGTCCTATGTCCAAATTCCAGACTGTCCCTTTAATGACAAAAGGATATGAAAGAATAGCGAGATGTATCAATGAAAACTGTGATGTTAAAATTCCATATTAGTAGATTTTTTTAACATGTGTATTCTCGTTAGATCCCTCAAACTCAGAGGGTGATGGTGTCTCACTGTGAAGAAGACCTGCTGTGTATCAGAGCGGCTTTTATCAAACTCACCGGGAACTCCCTCTACTCCACACTACAGGTATACACACTACTACTACTACAACTACTACACAGACCCTTCTCTACTCCATACTACAGGTACATATATACCAGTACTATTACTACTACTACACAAACCTCTTTCTACTCCACACTACAGGTAAAACACATACTACTACGTACTGCTACTACTACTATACAGACCTCTCTCTCAGCTAAGACAAATTGCCAAAGTAAAATCAATCCTAACACGCAATAACTTTGAAACAATCATACTCATACACGCTTTTGTAACAAACAGATTGGACTACTGCAGCACACTATATTCAGGCCTCCCACAGTCCTTCCTCAATAGTAGAGTTACAGTTAGTCCAAAATATGGCTGCCAGATGCTCACCAGGTCCAAGAAGAGAGACATTATTACATTATTACATCCATCCTAGCCCAACTCAACTGGTCACCTGTTAAATACAGAACTGATTTTAAATTGTATTATTTGTTTTTAAATCACTCAACTCAGTCGTGCCACAGTACATCACTGATCCCTACGCAAAGCTCCTCGGCTTCTCAGTTTCAAGCTCTCTCAACCTACTGTCTGTCTCACCATTCTGCCTCAAAACCAAGGGAGGCTGAGTTTTCTCTGTTGTGGCCCCTGAGCTTTGAAATGCCCTTCCTCTTCATCTGAGATCTTGCTCCTCTCTACCTCACTTTAAAACGCTCCTGTAAACAAATTTTTTCAAGATGGAGTTCAACAGCCCATGAACTCTACTTTAGACTATTATCTTTGTATATCAAGTCACTCTTTTATGTAATATTTTATATATTTTATATGTGTGTTATTGTTTCACTATGTTGTGTTTCATGCTGTAAAGCACTTTGGTGCAACTTGTCATGGTTGTTTTAAACGTGCTCTATAAATAAAATGACTTGACTTGACATATATTATGTATATAGTTTAATAATACATACATACAATATATACTTACATACGTTACACATTATAGTATACACATAGCACATTATACACACATTACATATTATTTTTAATGTCTTAATTCTACTAAGTTATACCTAATCTGTGTTTTTAAGTTATGTTCACTTTTACCCACAAAAGTTCCCTTTAATCAAAAAATATTTGTTAAAATTACTCATGTTACATGTTACAATAACTTGACATAATTGAGTTAGTATGACTATTTCTAAAACTGAGTATGCACAGCTTAATCTGTTTAATTCCTTTGAATGCTCTGGTTTACAGTGCTTCGGGGTCATGTGCTACATTAAACAAAGAAGTGTAAATAGAAACCATCATAAGATAAAGGCTTACAATAAAACAGACTGTGACTATATCAATACAAAATTATGACACTTTTTCTATGTTTTCGAACAGAAACACTTTAAAGGGGACTTCCTCACTGCCCTGCTCAACATCTGCCGATCTGAAGACTAAAAACTTCTCACGGGTTATATTTAAATAACAGTATTTACATGTACAATTGATTTATATTTTAATAAAAATGCATGAACAAACAGTCTTATATCAGTCTATGGAAAATACACTAGAATTCGTCCTGCCACACACAAGGCTAAATATGCTGGGATATCGCCACCTACTGATACATAAAAAAAATTACAACAGGAGCACTTAAAACACGCAACACATTTATTTTGTACATACAGAAATAACTAGTAACTTCATGAATATTATGATGAAAATATTGTATAAAAAGGCAAGTTTTTAGTTTATATTTGATTCTGAATAAAACCTTAAAGGGCCCATATTACACAGCAAAAACTGGAGGGGTAAAATTTCAGGGTAAAATATTTCACAGTTGTTGTTTTTTTTAACCCCAAAAGCTTTATTTTAACAATTTGAAAGTTAAATGGGGGGTTGAAGTGGGGTTATTTGAGTTGATTTAGCTGAATTTACTTCAACTTCCCTTAGTGTTAATTTGGCACCACCCACTCACCACTTCAAACTCCCACGAGAGAAGACCAGTTTGAACCAGCTTTGTACATAATTTTATCTTAAATTGACTAAAATAAAATCTAAAAACAAAACTTCTCTGTGTGTTGTTCATATAAATCAGTGCAACCCTACTAAGTGTTATCCTCCTAATTTTGGATAGAGTGAGGCGCTCAGTCACACGGAAGGAGCTCAAAGTAGAGCCACTGCTCCTCCATGTCGAGAAGAGCAGCTGAGGTGGCTTGGGCATCTGTTTCAGATGCCTCCTGGATGCCTCACTTGGGAGGTCTTCCGGGCATGTCCCACCCCGAAGAAGCCCCGAGGAAGACCCAGGCGACACTGGAGGGACTATGTCTCTCAGCTGGCCTGGGAACGCCTCAGGATTTCCCCAGAAGAGCTGGAGGAAGTGTGTGTGGAGAGGGAAGTGTGGGAGTCACTGCTTAGACTGCTGCCCCTTGCGACCCGGCTCCAGATAAGCAGAAGAAAATGGATGGATGGATTTCAGGGTTAAAGAGGAACTTTGATCCAGGGTTACTTAATTAACATTTCCAAAAATGTTAAATTAACTCTGGAACAGATTGGACTCATATAAACCCTGAGAAAACCTTAAAATTGATTCTGTGAGTCAATTTTAACACTCCACTTTTTGCTTTGTACACAGCACGGATTCTTGTGAATTTTAAGCCAGGTTATGTAGGATACTGTTATATCATCAAAAACATACCTAGAGTTGTGTTTTGTTTCATTCACACGTTTGAGTAAGGCTGTTTTTGAGTTAAGACCTTCCTTTTACTTTTAGTTCAGTAGAGATTGGCAATTCCAGGGCTGAAATCATCTAAATGATTCTAGTAAAGGTGTATGGAGTTTAAAAACAGTGGTGCATTTCCTGTATTACCACATGACATCACAATTTTGTCTGTTTGAGAGAAAAACACAGCCTAAATATGCAAGGTTTGTGTGTTAAACATGTGTGAATGAAACAAAACACAACTCCAGGTCTGTTTGTGATGAAGAAACAACATTATAACATAGGCCAGAAAACAGGTAATATAAGCCTTTTAAATAAAGTGTTAAACGTGACTACACCATTTGTACTTAATACTAAAGTACAATCTTACATGTATTATTTTACATATGCATTAGAAAGTATTAATTACAGGCATAAAACAACAAACATTTGAATTTACTGTACATTAATTTTGCCTTTAAAATAAGACACACAAATACATGACCACAGGAGGTTGCACTATGTAACCTCAAGTCAAGTTACAGATCAGATCCGTGGAGAGGCGAGCCCACTCACACTAAGAATCCATATTTGTCAAGGTTATTTCTGAGCAGTGCAATCATTTGTGAAATAAATGCTGTGTAAAATGAATGAATGAATGCTGTAGTGTGGAACATTCCAGACAAAGCAATAACATCTCCATATAAACCAGCAGGTGGCGAGAGTGTACTTTTAAATGTTTGGTTTTGCAAGCGAGGATGAGTTCACCTCAGTAGTGACGGTGCAGTACTTTTTGTGAACTGAAATGTGAAAAATACTCTGTGACAATTAATGGTCCTATATTACATAAAAGTTTGTCTCCGTGGAGATGTTGCTTCTCTATATTTTCACTTTTTTTCTATCTTAATCTATTCCAGGTTTAGATTGAAAAAAATTTACCTGAAAAAATATGTATTCTTACAGTGAACAGGCACGCCTCTCCACAGACCTGACCTTTTACTCAGCCTACTGGTATCACTTGCTTGTCCCCAGGAATAAAAATAACACTCCAGGCAAAGTCATAGCATCTCCATGGAGACAAGCAAGTGCCAGAACCTCAAACGAAAAAGTTACGTAGTGAGCTTTAATTGTAAGATCCATGAGACTTTTGTTACCATGGCACCAGGACTGTTTACAGAGACAACCAAAATATTATAATAGAAAACATGGACATTCTGACTACTATTACTATGTCACATGTACAAGTGGCAGTATTGTTAGTAGTAGTATTAGTAGTATTATGGACTGGTTTCTTATTGTTTGCGTCAGTTGTTGCAGTACTGTTGGTCATATTTGTAGTACTAGTAGTTATAGGATCTGTGGTAATCTTAGTGGTAGTAACCTTTAAAGTAGTAGTAGTCGCAGCCCTAGTAGTAGCAGTAGTAGCAGCAGTTGTAGTCGTAGCAGCAGTTGTAGTAGTAGCAGCAGTTGTAGTAGTAGCATCTTTCACTGTAGTGGTTGTTGTAGGCACAGTTGAAGTAGTTTTGATCGCAGTTGTAGTAGCAGCAGTAGTTTTTGGAGTACAGATTAAAGTAATGATCTTAGAAGTGACTTTGATGGAAGTAAAGTTGGATTTCTTGGTAGTAGTAGTTTCATTAGCAGTAGACAGAGAGTAGACCGGAGATGTGTTGGTGATTTCAGAAAAGGTGACATTTTCCTGTCCCTGAAAAAAGGAGTGAGTAATATTTAAAATAGTACTGTATTACTGGGTTATATATGTTTATATGTACATGCAGTGAATGACTCTGGGGGTGTTCTACATGTCTGTGGTGGAATGTTCAGAAGCCATTATGGTGACACAATGTGCACATTAGCAAATACTGACAAATAAGTTTTAAGATCGTCTGAAATCTCAAGAAAAAAATGCAAAATGGCCTTAGACAGAGCAGTTTCGCCAGTTAGCATCACAACGCCACAGAATGACCTCAGCTGCACAGGCTCATTGATTTTCAAACTTTTGGTTAAATTACTTTTTTTTATTATTATTATTTTTTTTTTACAAGTTTATGAGATGACTGCTGCTGTCATTTTGGGTGAATAAAAAATAATCCAAATCAATTTTATCATCCAATTATTATTTTAATAAAATAAATGATTATTTCTTTAAAGGTGCACTGTGTAACATTTCTGGAAGAGCATCTGTCACTTGCTTGTCTCCATGGAGATTTTATTGCTTAGCCTGGAATGTACGACATTAACCCTCTGCATGTGGCTTTTATCACCAATAAATAAAAATACAATGGAAAACATCCATTGTTACTGTGAGTGGACTTGCCTCTCCACAGATCTGACCAGTTACTTGGCTTGGCGGTCCACCCACTAGAGATATAGTTTAATGCCTTACCATGGAACATAAATGGCAAGAAATAACATCTTCATGGAGACAAGCAGATGACACTTCACCAGAAAAGTTACATAGTGCACCTTTAATATATACATATTTTTTACATAGACCTACAATATGACTTAACAACTGATGCGTGCAGAGTCTGGCATGTTTCTCTTATTTTTTTCTTAAATAAATAAATAAATAAATTCTAAGTGTTCAAAATATATTCAGTGTGAAATATATTTGAAATGTTGATTCTTACCCTGGTGGACAGAGTCGGCATGACCAGCAAAAACAGGCCCAAATGTCTCATCCTCATTTAGTTTCAAAAAGCCAAACCAGAATCTAGACCAGAGACCAGACCAGAGACTGGACCTGATACCAGAGACCAAAGACCAGAGACAAGAGATGAGCGACCAGACCTATTATCAGACCTGTGATCAGAGCTGCTTTTAGACCTGGGACTAAACCAGAGACCAGATCTGGGACGAGGAAATGTTGACTGTTCCATGTAATCTGTGTGTGCAGGTAAATGAACAGCTGCTTGGTTTATGTTTAATAAAAGACATAAAAACAAACATGTGGAGATCTGGGACTGTCCAACAGACTCAGATGAATTATTACTGGAATCACAAGGAAGTGAATATAAAAACACAGTGACCTTAGGGTTAGTGAGGAGAACATGATCTGGGCTGGGTACAGTGTTTGGAGTCATTTAAACCTCATCATATCTCATCTGAAACTACTGTATAAAAGAGTAAATACATGACAGTCTCTGGGACAAACCTAATGTAGTCTTGAGTTAGTTTTGATTCAATTGATTCATTAAAAAGCTTCTAGTTCATCTGTGCAGGTGTTTGTTTAAAAGAAAATGTAAAAAATAAATATTAAGAGTGAAAAACTAAACATCATTATGCAGCAGAGAGAGACACATATAATGCCATATTGTGGAACATTCCAGGTTTTGGATTATTCTGGAACAGCCTGCAGTATTAGTGTCCTTAGTTCAAAAATGCTGTAAACAAAATCTCCCAAACACTAATATCACATTTCATTTCATTTGTTTAAAGGCCCATGTTCTGCAAAATAAACTCCTGTGAGCTTTAAGTCATGTTAGAATCTCCTAAAAATCAGACCTGGATTTGTGTTTTGTTTCATTCACACGTGTTTGAGGAATCCTGGTTGATTAGTGTGTCTACATCTCCAAAGCTCAAAATGCTCTGTTTCACCTTGTGATGTCATTAAGAGCCTATGTTATACTTTTTTCTGATCTATGTTCTAATGTTGTTTCCTCATCACAAACAGACCTGGAGTTGTGTTTTGTTTCATTCACTCTTGTTTAACACACAAACCCTGCAGATTTAATTCTTCTCTCAAACAGAAAACACTCTGTGATGTCATTAGGTGACAATACAGGAATTTCTCCACTGTGTTTTTAAACTTCATTTGGATGATTTCAGA